TTAAAAAAAAAAAAAAAAAAAAAAAAAACGAGTCTAAACCCCTGGGATGGTGTTGGTCAGGTGTCAGAAGGAGAGGGAGAAGGCTCGGTAGCCCAGGTTGGTGAAGACATCCACCCGGCAGCTGTTGCCTGCAGCAGTCAGGACCTGGGGACCAGAGAGGCACGACTGATCTACCCACACTCCCCAGACCTCCTGAGGTCCCCAGAGCCCCTTGCTTGACCCACCTTGCACTCAGGTGCGGCTGGCTGCTGGTTGAGGCTAAGGCTGAGCAGCCCCGGGGACGAGCCAGGCACCTGGGCCTTGAGCTCCCCACTCAGCTGCCAATGGTTGATGCAGTGACCCTGGCCAGCTGACAGAATCTATGGAGGACAGGGAGGGGGCTCAGGGCTGGAGAGGAGACTCAGGGAGGGTGGCAGAAGCAAGACAGGGCCTCACCAAGTCCTGGTAGAAGGTGACATGCTTCTGTGGTGCCCGCATGGGGAAGATGGTGGTGGGTGTGGAGGACCGCAGGTGCCAGAGGGTGAGGGCTGGGCCCCCTCCACAGACCTGGACAGAAAGGTGTCGGGTCCCCAGCCACTGTGACCCATGAGCCTTCAGCTGACAGGGCCTGGAGATACTACCCTCCCCCAGCCCCCCACGCACTGTGCCAGCTCACCATCCAATCTGAATCAGTTGCCAAGCATCCAATCCAGCGCCCATTGTGCGGCCTGGAGCACTCCTGGGAGGAAGGGGGAGGAAGGTGAAGACAGAGACAGGGTGGGGAAGAGAAGAGGTATGTGGGTCATCCTCTTACCTCATGCTTATAAATCTCGATTATCTGTGCCTCCTTGGCTGTGCGGAGGTCTGTGGGGAAAGAGACAGAGGGTCCCAACGAGCCCTACCGACCACCCCTCCTATACTGCACTCCAGCCAGCCACCCCCTTACCCCAAAGCCGCACAGCCCCATCTTCGCCGCCTGACAGCACCTCAGGACTCCGCTCTCGAAGTGCCAGGCAATGGATATAGTCTGTGTGGCCTCGGAGAGCCCGCTGGAGGGAGAGGGGCAGAATGAGGAAGAGACCCAGAAAGAGTCCCTCCCCTGGCCCAGATCTGCCCCAGCTCTGCTCACAGTGAAGGTTCCAGTTTCCAGATCCATAGTGTGTAGTTGACAGTCTCCCCCAGCCAGGATGAGGGAATTCTCCTGCAAAGGAAGCAGGGTGGGGATGGGAGTCAGGTCACATCACAACAGGGAGTAGGTGTGGAGTCAGGGTTTGGGCGAAGAACTGTCACAAAGGGCTCAGACCTTGGGAACCAGCAGCAAGGCGTTGATTTCAGGCACTTCCAGGCTAGTCCTGGGGGAGGAAGGGCAGGATCAGTGTCAGTGAGGCAGTGCCCTCACCCGACGTGACTTTCGCTCACAGGGCCCTGGCTCACCTGTATGGGGGCTGACGACGCCACATTTCCTTACAGCCCTTTACAAGGGAAAACACTGGGTGACCACAAAGGCTCTTTCTGGCTGAGGCAGCCCAGCCCTGCCCCAAGCTCCAGGCTCCAGATTCTTTACCTTCTTGAGGATCTCTGCCCAAAGCCAGGCCTTCACCTCCCCGTCCCCAGCACTCAGTAGATGTCGATCAGTGGAGACCATGCTGTAGACAGGCCCATCATGGGCTAAAGAGAAATGCAGAACCTGAGTAAGCCGACCCTGCAGTCCCCTAAGCCACTCAACAGCTACACCCACCTGGGAAGGTCACCACAGGCCTCTTGCTTTCCTCTTTGGCCTCTGAACTCAAAGCAGCAGACAAGCTGAAGAGGAGAGACAAGGGGGACCCAGGAGTGAGAAGCAGGAGGAATCAGACCCAGGAGGGCCAAGTGCCAGGGCTCAAGATGGTGGAGAGCAGTGGCTGAGGATACCTGAAGATGGCAATCTGCCCATAGTTGTTGCCAGCTGCCAGGAACTTCCCACAGGGTGAGACGCTCTGGGAGAAGATGGTCATGTGCAGCCGCTGCAAGGCCTGAAACACCTCAGCCTGTAGGGAGACTGGATGAAGCCTCTGTTCAGAGACTCCTCCCTGCCTCCCCTGTTGTAGCCTGGCTTCTAATGCCCAGACGTCTCAGCCCTCTTTTGAGATGTTCACTACACAAACACTTGCCCATGCAGTCCCAGAAGTGACTCCAAGAAAGGGGTGAGGAAAGGAAAGTTGAGGTGTGATGCCTAGGAAGTGCAAAGCATGCACCAAATCTCTTCTACTAGTTTCTTCAACAGTCAAATGCATTCACAGGAAATCCTGTCACAATTAAACGGGCTAGTGGACAAGCTAATGTACAAAGCTTGTACATAGAGCCTTGTATAGGTCTGTTATGTAGGAAATACTTAAAAAGTGGCTCTTGAGGGCATGGTGGTGGTATATGTCTGTAATCTCAGCACTCTGGGAAGCTGAGGGACAAGGTTTACAAATTCAAACTCAGCCTCACAATTTAGAAACTTAATGAGATCCTGTCTCAAAATTGTAAATAAAAAGGGCTGGGGATGTAGCTCAATGTGAAGGTCTTGGATTCAATCCCCTGTATTGGAAGAAAAAAAGAGGCTCCTGTACAATTATTGTTTCAATTTTCTTTTTTATTTTAATTAATTTATTTACTTAAGATAGGGTCTTGCTATGCAGTTCAGGCTGGTCTCAAACTCCCCACCATGTCCAGCTTCATCTTCTTAAAATGTAGCTATTGGGGAAGCTGACTCAGGAGGATCATAAATTCAAGATCAGCCTAAGCAACTTACACAGACTATGTCTTGAAATTTAAGGGGGAGGTTAGCCAGACGTGGAGGCACACACCTGTAATCCCAGTATTTGGGAAGCTAAGACAGGAGGATCACTGAGAGTTGGAGGCCAACCTGGCCTACATAGTTGAGTTCAAGGTCAGCCTAGACTACAGGGTGAGATCATGCCTCAAAAAAACCAAAACCAGGACCAGGGATTTAGCTCAGTGGCACCTTGCCTAACTAGCAAGCGCAAGGTCCTGAGTTCGATCCCTGATACAAAACAAAAACAAAAAACCCCCCAAATTAAGATTAGGAGCAAAGAAGTAACTCGAAAGAAAAAAAAAAAAGTAACCTGATCAAAGCCTTGCCTAACCTGCGCGTTCCCCTTGGGTTCAAGCTAGAAATAATTAGAGGCTTTATTACTGCGGCACAGAAAAATGGACTGACCTCTAACCCCTAAATTCAACTTTCACTTTTGCCGATGCTATTCTTGCTTACTCCACAGCCCTTTACAGAGCTGGAGTCTCACTGATCGCTTCCGTACACCAGCACGCCCGCATCATTCCTTAACCATTGCGTCGCAGCCAAGCAGGGACTGCAAACCCCAGAAAGCACCACGCGCTCGTCGGCTCACCTGACCCAGAGGCACCGCGAGCGGCGTAGCACGCTCCATCTCAGGAACCACAAATCCCAGAGTGCTCTCCGTGACGCAGCCTCTCTGACGCCGGACGTGCCCGTGAGCCGCTCCTCTTCGCGGCTCTTAAAACCTAGATATTGCCGGCGGATCCGGCGAAAACGGTAGTCTCGTGCCGCCACGCTCCTCGGGAACCAAGTAGAGCGTCGCGAAGCCCCCAGATCGTAAGAAGTGGCAGCGGCTGCAACGCCGGATTTCCCCCCCCACACACAACCAAGTAGACCCGCCTTGCAGTGGCGCGCAGCTCCTCTTCCGCGTCTACGCAGAACCCCACCGCAGCGTGCGTGAAACCACACCCCTTGCGCTTGGACCACGCCCCTACGGCTCCGCCTCTGCTGCCTGGATCCCACCCCTCTGTCCGCGGGACCCCAACCCCAATGATTCTGCAGCAGTCCCTTGAGCGGGCCTCCCCAGGCCTCGCCCTGCGGGCCACCTCGGGGGTGACTCGGGGCCTGGACATCAGGTGCGTTCTGGGGTACTGGGTAGCCCCCACTGAGGGGAGCAGGAGCTTTGGCCGGGGGCCCAGGGCTGATCTGCAGGATCACCGGGTGAGGCTTTCGCTTGAGCTGAGACAGGGTTGAGGATGAGAGCAACTTTATAGTCGAGACTTCTGAGATAAGCTGTTGGATGGCCAGAGATGGGGTGGCTTAGGCGTTATTGAGTTAGGAATGGGCAGGGGGCTCCTGGCAGACCTGCAGGCTCAGGAGGTCGGATCCTCGGAAAAACCAAAAGGGTGGGACGCACCTGGTTCTTTTTCCCAGCTCCTCTCCAAGGAGCTGTGCCTATGAGCACCGAGTGGCGCCTGGAGGAGGAGCAGTGACTTTGGGGGTAGGGAGGGTTCCTGACTAGACGTCCTCCGTCAGGCAGCCTCCTCTCAATATCTGTGCCTGGCTTCCTGTCTCTCTCCAGGGAGCCCTTGCGCAAGCAGTTCCTGTCGGAGGAGAACGTGGCCACCCACTTCTCCCGACTCAGCCTACATAATGACCACCCTTACTGCAGCCCCCCCACGGCTTTCCCCCCTGCCCTGCCCCCACTCAGGTAAGCACTCTCCGCTGGCCACATCTCCTAGCGGGTCATACATGCTCCTCTGAGCTGATACTCATCACGCTATTTTTAGATTCTAACTTATGTGCTATTTCCCATCTTGGCCTCAGAGACGTGGACCTGGGGGAGGTAGTTCTGCCAAGCAGGCCTACAGCTCCATGCCTTGACCATGGTTTCCTTTTGCAGGGGCCCTTGCTCGGAGCTGCTTCTCTGGCGATACCCTGGAAGCCTGATCCCAGAGGCCCTCCGGCTGCTGAGGCTAGGGGATACCCCTACCCCCCATTTTGCCGCATCCCCACCTGGGGACATAATGGAGCTCTGAGCATTGGTGGACAGTGACTCTCCCCACCTTGCCTGCTACAAGACTGACAGGTTCTGCGAAGGCACAAGGTCCTTGCTTATCCTCTTCTACATCAGGCATCTGGGTACCAGGACCTTCCCCTACCAGAGGACAATGAGCTCAGTGGAATCTTGGGATAGGAGGGACGGCATGGGAAGGGAGGTATCCTCTCCAAAAATAAATAAAAACTGCCTAGCAATTGAAGGCTACGTAGGAAGATCCAGCCTGGAACCTGGGGCCTTTGAGGAGGGTGGGATACTGGGTCCTGGGGTTTTTCAAGATCTTCCCTGGAAAATGGTCAGGGCTGGCCAGGTCCTGGCAGGCTGGGTTGCAGGCATTGAGAATGTGTGAGTCACAGCCTCACCCCCACCCCCGCAGCAGGCGACTGACTCACTCCCTCCTTCCATCTCTGGGGAGTCAGGCTGAGGATCACTCCAAACCATTTAAAGTTAAAGATTCTTTTATTAATAAATTCTCCCCTCCAAACTTTCTCCCCAAAATAAATATCTCCTCCCCCTCCCCCTTGGGAGCTATGGGGGGGGTCTGTATCTTAGGGCGGGCCCTACTAGAGGGCCAGCCCTCTAGTGTTAAGAACAGGTCCCTAATTGCCCCAGGGTGACCACCTCCACCCCACCCCACCCCTGTGGAATTTCAGTCCATCTGAGTGGGTGAGGCCTAGTGTTGTGTCTGCCCCTTGAGTCAGCCTAGCCGCCAGGGCATCAGGGGACCGGAAGACCCCTTTGTGCAAATGCTGCAGTTCTTACTGTGAGTGGCACGAGGCTCCTTTTCGGACCCGGTGCACAACAGGGCAATCACACACCTTGGAAGCCTCCCCTGAACCCTGGGCCCAGCCTTGGTGGTGATTCACAACTCCCTTCCCCCTTGTGGCTGGAGGAGGCCTGGCACTGGCTCTTGTCTGTCTGGGAAGCAGGAGCTGGCTCCAGAAGAATGAATGAATGAAGGTACTCAGTCACTGGATCAGTGCCACACCTGGACAGCCTTCTCCACCGGTCTCCTCTATAGGGGCTGCAAGAGAGATGTGGGTGGTCATGAGCAGAGAGGAAAGGTGCAGGAGTGATGGGAGGGCAGGGGGGCATACTGACTGGTAAACTTCTCTCTCCTGTGGCACCGTCTCCAGACCAGGAAGGCAGAAAGCAGCGCTAACACGAGGGCCAGGCTCAGGGCCCCCCCAAGTATGGGCCAAAGCAGCTGGAAAGGGGTAGGTGGGATCGCAGCACCTGGGAATGGGACTTAAATCAGATCTCTCTCAGGCCCAGCCCTACCCTATAGCGTCGAACCTAAACCCACCATGGCTCCCACCCTGACTCCTTCCCCATTCTCCATTCGTTCTGATTGGTCCCCCAGATCCAAAGCCATCTGCTCCCCTCTCCACCCCAGCAACTCTCCCCCTCCTTTAGGGGCCAGTCGCCACCGGCCGGTCCCTCACTCACAACCCAGGCAGAAGTCACTGTGAGGTCGCGCCGGGCACGACGCGCAATCCATGCACTTGTCCAGGTCCGCACTCCACGAGCTGCCGCGAGAGCAGGGGGCGGTGCCTGGGGAGGGGGCCGAGGGTCAGACACTGGGGGAGGGGCGCAGCTATTCTGGGGGCTGAGGTCAGGGTCCGCCGGCTCGAATAACGTGAGTCACCGACGCTCCCCCCGCCCGCATTCCTCACAGGTGACCGCACGGCCGGACCGAGACACGGCAGTACCGGGAGGGGTGGTGTAGCGCACAACTTTGGTGTGGGGGGGCTCAGGTCCCCACAACCCCCGCGCCGCCGGCGTGTGACTCACTCCTGGGCACCCGGCCCGACCCCGATCCCTCCCCCCGCATAGCTGGGCACTGAAGTCACCGGATGGCAGGGGGCACCCCACTGGTATAGAGGGCACAGACCCCTGTGACTCTCCGGACCCCCCACTCTTCCCTCACTGGGGTTGAGCAGATCCCGCGAAGACCGGGAGGGGGGCGTGACCCCTCACCAAACCGAACTTCGTGCCGGAATCTTGCTCTCTCTCAGCTACCGGTAAGGGCATTTGCACGAAGAGAAAGTGAAGTCCGGACTGCGAGTGAAGCCGAGTGGGAAGAGAGCTCCCACAGCAGGAAGCTCGGCGTCCTAGACACCAGAACCCACACCCAAGTCCACTGGTCCCGGTCGGATCCCCGGCTCTGGGTCCCTCAGCCCCCGCGCCCCGAGTACCTGGCGCCTGCTCCCCAGCCGCGGCGGGCGGCAGCGCCAGCACAAGCCC